CCACTTCAGATGCATTGGTATTTACACTTTTTGACTAAGGATGGCACTAAAACTAATAATTTATGTAGAGCAAGCATCTTCTTTGTGCTCGATATAATGAATAATGAATGTAAAAAAAGCTACTTATTGCTAAAGATGAACGCTACTCTAAAAGCTTTAATTGCTTCTGTTTCTATTTTTGGAGAACTGAAGAAAATAAACTCATGTTGAAGATTCAAAGAAAAACTGACTATCAGAACTAACAGCGGTATAAGTGATTCCTTGATCTTATTATGAAAAGGGATATATGATTAAGAAATATTTGCAGACTTCACAATAAAATGAAAGCTGTAGAAAATAATTTCTGCAGTATTCAAGAAACTAAAAATGATGTCAATGTTCTTAGTGAAAGTCTCACAATCTGAAGATTTTGGCAGGGTTTCATGAATGTGATAAATGCCTCCTAATACCAATTGTAGTTCTCTACTATTTTAAATTTTCATCCATTTCTTCCAACATTACTAAATTAATTGGCCTATTAGCTTCCCATCAGTGACAGGAGGAAGTTATATCTTTTGTCTGGGGTTGTTTGTAATTCTCTTAGAATCACACTAGAAATCTGGGAATTTACGAAATGGCACTGTCCTCTCCCCATTTATCATGTGCATCTAACAAAGACATTCTTTGTCACATATTTTACATATTGGCACTTTGCTTAAAGCCTTCACGGAAAACTTGGTAAGCAACTTTATATCATTTAAAGCCTTTGGTTTCATTTTACATCATTTGAGTTATCATCACCCTCATCAAATAAGATATTTTTGGCTATTTCCTGTAACAATATTCTGCTTACTTATTAAAGATGCTTACCCATTAATCCATTGATTATAAAGTTTTTACTGTGCATTTTAGTCGATCTGATTAGATTTTCACAAAGCTGCATGTGATCTTCACATATGCATTTGATGGCCCCAAGCTGTCAAATTTCCAGTGCTGACACTCAGTTCTGAAGAATTCATATCAGGTTCAAAAGCTTAATTCTGATTCTGTCTCCACTCGACCTGCTGAGTTTTTCAAACACTTTCTATTTTTGCTTATTTTATGATCTATCTATACTTGGGTTTTATTTCTGGACATGTGCTCATTATACGTGTGAGGCTAAAATTTAGGGTCAAATTTAGAGTAAAAAGCAAATAGAAAATAGAACTTTTACTTTGTTAGGTAGTGAAATGAATCTATGGTTTAGTTTTAAAAATAAAGTTGGACATATCATGTCTTTTTCACACAGCCCAATTTGTAACTTTGTTCAAAAGTTGCATTCTCTGAATGGTGAACTGCAGTTTGTTAAAATTTAAAGGGTGAGCAGGAAATGTTTTAAACTTTAATGTATTAATTTATAAGTCAAGTAAAATGTTTGAATCTTTAAACAGTATCAGCTAAACTTCATTAGCACTTTCTTTAGCTGTGAGTCAGAAGATCTTGGGATCAAGACCATACACCAGGTTGGCACGTCACAGAATCATTGATGGAGGTTGTTTTGTCAACAGTGCGGAATTAATTCAAGGCCCAGTTACTTGTCACGTGAATGTAGCAGAACTCATTACGGTATTTGAAATTAAGCAGGGAGTTCTGGTACCCTGACCAGCTTTCTTCCTTCAACCTCCACACTACATTAATTTATTGGTTATTTATCTCATTTGTAGTTTGTGGGATCTTGCTTTATAGATTCCCTGTTGTGATAGCCTGAAAAAAATGCTAATTATATTTCACAAGTATTTGGTTGGCTTTGAAGCACTTATCATGTTTTCAGGGGCTTAAGATTTTTTTTTCCTCTTGGCTGTGGCTTTAAAGTTAAAATTTAAAATGATATTTATGCATCAAGGTATTTAGTTATTCTTATTCCATGCACATACGGCTTTAAGCAGGAGTGCAACTATTCACTTGAGGCAGGGTATTATTTGTAGTTTCGGAAATCAGTTGTTTTTTTTAATTGAAGATATCAGTGTGGTTACAACCTTGTGTCAGTCAGCACTTTTAACTTGGGAACATCTGTTTCCAAATTCCAATACAGAATCTTGTATAAAGCACCTACAAATACAAGTTGTTCACTCTCATAAACGTGATAGTATTTATGAACTTTGTGATGGATTAAATATATGATTGATAGACGATAACTGCCTGGTGGATTGAGCAACTCATCCAATTAATGAAGTCATATCTGGGCTGGTTAACAAGTGAGCAGACCTTTTTGGATTGAAGAACTTAATTCTATCACATAACTTTCATTATCTTAAAAGCAAATTGATTTTTACATTTCTTAAGGAAGTAGCAGTATAAGTTTGCAAGACAGCAGATGAAAGATCTTTGTTTTTAATGGATATATGCCTTTGGATTCTGTTGCACTACTTACTGCATGATATAAATTACTCTTGAAAAACTCATAAGGTCACAAATAAAATTTCATACAGGAAAATACATCACTCTGTGGTTGTTCTTTTAACTTCAAATCATATTTTAACTCTCAAGTTAACTCGTTATTATCTGTCTCTGCTTTTTAAGCTGTTTTTATCAGAATTTGATCTCGCTTATCTGATTATCACCAGGCATGAACTTAAGGTATGATGTATTTTAGCGTACACAATTGAAGCATTTTATTTCATTTTGTGAAATGAAATGTCTTTTTTTCAAAATCAAGAGCAAATCTTTGAAACAAATGTTAATGGTTTTTCGAAAATGTTCTTTACTAAATTATGATGAAGTAAGTTTATTCAGTCATTTATTGCAATATGTTTAAACATTATTGTGCATTTTATAAACGTTATAGCATCAAATTAAAATCTTGCAGAAGAAATGTTACATTGGTTAACTTTTTATTTAGAATTTATTTTGTTTAGTTTCATTTTGTAAGCTGGAATTCTTTTCAGAGTGTCTTGAGTGTAGGTTAATGTTGGTGAATGGTTACTACTAGATTCATATATTTTGATTTTCTTTTGTGTAAATGAACCTTCTGTTACAACTTCTCTACATTTGTTTATGATGTTCAAGGCTTGGGTTATTTGTTGCCTTGTTATAGGATTCCCTTCAGTGTGCCTTAAAGCAGTTTTCAGTCACTCAACAAGGGATTAAATGGCAGTAGTTGGAGTGATCAATAGGTTAAGAACAATACAATCACTCTTGCTGCTAATGACCTCTGTAGTAGTGTATAATAAAGTGTGTGCTATAATAGCCTACTGCCATTGCTGCATGCTGTTTGATTTCTGACATTAGTTATTGCTGAAAAGACAATAGGATAGCACTAGTACATTTACGGTGTGAACTTCCATTACCCCACCACCCCGAAAATACTAGTAAACTTGGCGAGCCCAGATATTTAATAGAAATGAATTAGTATAATGGAGAAAGAAAGCTGTGTGGAGTTTAGAATGTGCCTTCATCTGTCTGACCTTCATCAGTGATTTAAGTTCGTCGAGATTAGTGATGCTGAGAAATCAGGGCATCAGTGCATAATGACTGTGAAATTAGGAAAGTGAATGCGCTATGCAAATGGAAGAAAAAATCAGTGATAAAATAGAATAAGAGCTCTTAACTACAGAAATACTGAAATGCATCATCACAGCATCAAGATGCAGAAGTTTGTTTGCTGGACCCTGTATTAGGGTTTGTTATTCAATACCTTTTTAAATCCTTTCACTGGCACTAGCCTATTTTTAGGGTTGAAAATATTCCCTCAGAATGATATAAAGCTATAGATCAGGTTACACTTCCATATTTCGACTATTGTGTGATCAATGGAAATTTTCATTTGTGTATGAAGTGCATTGAAACCAAATAGAATTTAGGTGTCCAACAATTAAGCTGTATTTCTTTGAAATAATAGTGACATTTAAATAAATTTTACAAGGAACCAAATGTATTTTAATCAGAGATGATATTAATACTTTCCATCTGATAAAACATTTTAAAAAAAATCTTTGTTCAGTTTTAGAAAAAACATTGAAAAAGCTTTGTATTTTGATGAGCTTGAAATTTATATTCAATATCTGAACATTTCAACAAAACATAATGATTGATTTGAAAACTGAGTTTCATTCTACAAACGTGCAAAATTTATGATATTGTTATGAAATGTTAGCATGAAAATAACAATGCAATGTTGTTCGAGACAGACTGTCATTTTAATGTCGGCTTCATTATCAGAACAAGACATCATTTTTTATTCACAATATGCAAGTTACTCAGTTTCAGTTTAGAAGGATGTCCATGCACTTGGACACGTTAATAGTTGCAAATGTGAAATGCTATCAGGTTCATCACTGTAACTGTTTGTCACTGAAATGTCAGTGAGAAAAGCTGCTTTGGGTATGTCAGCAATATGAAATATCTGGCACTATAAACAGCCATATAGTTTAAATCAGTATATGAACAATTGAGATCACATTGGAGACTTCTTTTAAGAAATGGCAATGTTCATGTGCAGAACCAGCCTAATGCAATTCCTACTAGTGATAGATTGATATTAGTCATAGAAATATCGCCACTGTTTTTTTCATTTGTACTTTACATAGTAAATCTGCACATTTCATAGTATTTTTCTAAAGCTGCAGTTCTCCATACAGGATTTCATATTTTCAAATACTATAATTATTGAAACATGCTAATTGCTTAAACTCTGTTTCAATCATGGGGCTTGGAAAGATTTTTTAATATGTCACATGTTTAAGAGCCAATTCCAAGAGTTCTTTGGCCCAATTCCTGTCAATCACTGGCACAGAAAATAAGGTCAGTGCCTTAATAAAAAAAAAACATAACTTAAGGGTTTAATCTTTGTTAAGATAAAGAGAAAGATGTTAACATACCGTTTCATTGCAGTTTTTGATTGAATCATGTTGGGATACAGCTTGAAACTGATTTGACAATCTCAGCCCTTCACTCAGCAAATTTCTGTTAGATGATAATTGTTATAAGTCCGTGTACAGCTTTAGAAATATTTTGTCCCTTATCTTCATGTGTTATGTCTTTAGGTTCCAGTATCAGTGGCTATGATGACACCTCAAGTGATAACTCCCCAGCAAATGCAACAGATTTTACAGCAACAAGTACTGACTCCTCAGCAACTTCAAGCTTTGCTTCAGCAGCAACAGGCTATCATGCTACAGCAGGTAACTTCACTATCAACTATTAACTCAAGTTTACAGTCACATTACCTGAAACAGCTCAGTTCTTTTTCAGTCAAAACTGGATAGCATTATTTATGTAACTCTTCTCACTTGTTTAAAATCAGGCAGGCAAGCAATTTTTCTCATCTAAATAGTGAGTAACATTGTGTAACTGTCTACTTCCACCTCTATAACATTGCCTGTCTCCATACCTGCTTTAGCCCATCTGTTGCAGAAATTCTCTTCTGTGCCTTTGTCACCTCCGCTTTCAACTGTTCCATTCCTTTCCTGGCTAACCTCCATAACCTTCAGCTCAACAAAATGCTACTATCCATATCCTTTCTGGAGTAAATCGTACTCATTCACCAGCTGTTTCTTTACTGATTTATATTGGCTCCTAGCCACCAACACCTTTGACTTCTAATTCTCATCCTTATGTTTATTCGCAATTATGGCCTTCTTTTTCTCAAGCTTCAGTCCTGACCGCTACTCTTATTCCCAAAGAATCCTGTATTTTTTTAACTTTAACTCTATTTGCATCCTTTTTATTGACTGCTAATATCTGTATTTTCTGTACTCTAGATTCAGTTCCAAATCTTTCCTGTTTTGCATTTCTGTTTCCTCCTTTAAGACCCTATTTAATGCTCACTTTTTTTACTATCTCTTGTCTAATTTCTTTGGCTTGGTGTCCATTTTTGTCTGATTACACTATTGTGAAATGCCTTTGATTGTTTTCCTGTCTTGAAGGCACAATGTATTTGCAAGTTGCCATTGTACAAACCAAAACATTGGCCTCATTTTCTGATAGAGGGGAACATCTCTGGCAAGGTGGAACCTCTACCCAGTACAGAGCTACCTCGCTGAGTCCAGTTTCAAGGTCATCTGCACATCAGGGGCAGGTTTCCTAGTGTCTAATGTGGTGTCATTACCAAACAGCCAAAACAGGAGGCCAGCAATGCCATGAGGCAGAGTCATCAATCCAACTGCCTAAAAGATTGGACTCCTTTTTAAAATAACATTGGCTGCAGCTCTTGGAAATTGTATATTGCATAATTGTAAGACTAATACTACAAGTTCCAATATCAAAAACAACCTAATGTCTCCTCTGTTTACTTTTAAATGTTTGGCACTAGGACCTCACAAACACTTACACTGTTCCATGCTCAACATTATAAAGTTGTATTGACCATTTTAAAATTTGGTTTACGTTTCACTGCTCTCTACAAATCTGGCAAAATAAAACACTTGATTGAGAGGGTGTGGAAGATCTAAACCATTACCTTTCATCCAGGATGAAAAATCTTTTGTAAAAAAAAAACCATGTCAGGGTGTTCCTTATGTACACAACTTTGGTTGACAATACTATCCAATTCATCCTGCATCAACATACAACTCAACTGTTTTCTTTTAATGATTCAAGTGCTTTGCTGAACTGATGAGCTTTTACAGCTGTTTTGCATGAATATCTTGCAAGGTATTATGGTTATATCATGTGCTATGCAACTATTCATCTGGAAGAGATGTTTTAGACTCTTACAACATTCTGCATAATAGTACTTCTTTTGCCTTTACTTGGTTCGATTCCTACATTGTTTCAATCACTTGTATTCCAAAAATAACCAGCAGATTCTCATTATAAATGTATATGATACATCATAATCTTTAACAGAATACATTTTAAGTAATAAAATAACAAGTAAAATACCAATGGTCACATTTTGCCCATAGAATAACTGTTGATTGCGTTTGGCAAAAATGTTACATTGCAGTATGCATTTAGCAAAAGGTTGGTCATAACTCTACATGTAACAATAGAGGGAGAAAGTATTCATTGTAGTTGTACTTCTGTCCTTTTCAAGACACGGTGTGGTCTTGTCCAAACACCGTCTGGCAATAAGCTCACCAAAAATTATACTCCACAGATTGCTATACACTGTACATACTGTAGGATTCCCCTTCAACCCATTATCAGGTTTCCCCTTATTACCCTGTTGTGAACATTTGGTATCACTGATATACCTTAGATAATTCACTTATGTAGATTTGGCACAGGTCAGATTACTCGATGGAATTTCAGTGTATTCTTGGCAGAAGATAGCAAGTTTAAAAGGCTGTTGACGTCCTAGTCCTCATTGCCCACAAGCACTAATGCCTAACTAATTACATTCTTGTGTCACATACCGATTGCCATATGATTAGCCCTGTTGTCTGAATCCTGGTTGCTTTAAACTTCCTTTTTGTGTTTTTGCTTTATAATTTTTTTAGGCAGTTCCTCTGACATTTCCAGGCTTGGGGCAGCACTATCACATAACAGGTCACTAGAAGGCTGTCTGGTCTGTTAATCAAAAATATCATGATGCCACACTAACTTGGCTGCAAAATTCAGCTCCATCACCTTGGTAGCATTGGCATCTTGGTGACAACATTGGTGTGAGCATTAATGTGCATGCAGCAACAGTATGCAGAGTTGGCTTATCATGACATCAGCCAGCAGGTAATACTAATTTGATATCAGACTGGTAATTTTGGACCTCTCAAATCTACTTAACAACCAGCCCTAAACATGCATGACTGAAGATGTGTTCCTCGGCTTGCCAAATTCCCCACTTGCACAATTTAACAGGATTATTTGCTGATTACTTTCTGCTGGCTCTCTTTGAGTTAGTGTAAGCACTAGGCATTTGGAGAGTTGGACAGTGCTTGATAGAGTATGCAGAGAGTGGTGCAGCATGTAAGGAAGACATTACTTGTGACTGCAAGGGCACTGAGTGCACTATCTGCTCTCAATCATAGGATCTGTAGTAGCAGTTCCCCTTGGGCTGCATCACGAGAGTCAGATGGTGCAGAGGCAGGGACTAAGAAAACCAGCTGCTCTCAGAGGCAAGAGGATGGGAGGAGCACTCTTAAGAGGAACTCTTACCTATCTATGTCTTATAAGACAGTTCCTGTTCCCCAGCTCATGTGTTTGTGATTCATCAAGGAGATGGTTATGAAGTACTCTGCAATTTCTTGGAACCAGACCTGCAGTCTTAGAATGGGCAAGGATGGTACTACCATTGACTGTGAAGGGGACTGCAGCCTTCAATTTTTTTTTTGGAACTGGATACTTTGAGACTGTAACAGGCAATACGACTGTCATCTCTCAGTTTATTAGTTGTTCCCACTTCAGCAGAATGACAAGAGTTTCTTTCAGGAGAAGAAATTTTATTGTTTTCTCTGAGCAGAGAGGATGAGGAAGACTGCACATACCCCATGGTGTCACATGCTGTCGAATAGACCCTTCCGGCTTTATGGACGCTTCATCTCAATGATCAAATGCATGAAAATAGTAATGGGATGAACGCTCATTGAATGTGCAGTTGGTGACTGTGTTTGGCACATCATGCTGGGCCGTACTCCCTTTCCTGGCTGTGGTCATACATTCCTGCTACTCCAGTCCATTTCAGTCTTTCAACAGGTCAAAGCAATGCGGACTGGCTTTAAGTATTTCTAGCTTTGCATAAACTTGTGTGTCTTGCTGAAGCATGCTTGGTCGCATGCTGCAACCATTATAATTAACAGGCAGCATAAAGTTTTTTCAACTGTTTGGGCTATTGAATGTAGACCTTCCTTAAACATTGCACCACTACCCCACCCCACTGCCCACTTGCCTCATCCCCATCTCCCTGGCTATCTGTCTGTTGCCTACTGGGATCTAACAATGTATGATTGGGAGCACATTGCTAGGGGATTTGCGAACCTTACCCCTCCACTCCTGCTTTTGTAGCATAGTACTTTAAATTACCAAAAAGCCAAGTCACAAAGCAATTCAAATAACACATTTATGTATATACATCCATGACAAGCAGAATTAAGACGGTTTATTATAGTAATTAGACAAACATTCTAAATCAGCTAATAATTTGAATACTACCCTGGAGACTTTTGTTAGGCCCAATTAGTAGTACAATGTATTCTGAATTAGTAATCACTTGCATGAAACTGTACCAAATAAATATTACAAACTACCTTGAGTTTCTTTTTAAATTGAATCACAATCACAGGTTTAACATCCTCTATTCTGCTTCAGTACGCTGCTGATACTCAGTGAAAGTGATTTTTATCATGCAAGTTCAAGAATTGGCACCTTTTCTTAATGTGCTGTGAGTATCTTTTCCAAAATGACATTCGCAGAACCTGAGCACACTGTTGGTGAATGATGCCAGGTGCTTTTATGCTTTATTAAATATAAACCAAAGGAAACAAAGCAGCCAGACCATGATGTCAATCAACGATGCCATTAGCAATTCAGTGCACCAATTGGTGCTCGCCCTTAACTTCACACAGTTGAACACGTGCTTAGCACCAGTGCTATTTAAAGGGATCAGCTTCTGACTGGTTAGTTGCTGATTGAGTTTTTCTATTTCTATGATTTTACAAGTACTTAGTGCTTTATGTAGTTGTTGCAAGTTACAAAAGCAGTCTGGTAGAGGACTTCTTGTGGACTTTTGAGGATTCTGCACAAGCCACTTTGAGTGAAGTAGTAGCTATTCACCTTGAAACATAGCATCACTTGGTGAATGAAATGGAGGCCGTGCGCAGCAGCAGGACAAACTGTTGGAGGATGAGAGGGTGGTGGTGGGGGAAGAGCTCTGTGCAGATTGGCGTATTTAGCAAAGGGTTCAGTGACCAATTCTCCTACCTGAACATCAGCAAGGAACAAAGTGAAGATGTCTGCACTTCATTGAAACCTGACATTTTCTGCACTCACAGTTGCAACCTCAGACCAGGGTGAGGACCTCATTACTAGTGACTTGTTATTGTAACAGTGGTGATGCACTTTTATGTGCAGTGCTCCTGCAAGCACTGGAGCTGAAGATATTTGACACAGTTGCAGTTTTCTGTGCAATGTGGAATAAAGGAGGTCACGCAAGTTCCCTATGTAAAGACAGCTATCTATTTCATGTCTTCTCGCCAGATATTGTTAGACAGAGCAAGATTACAATGTTGCTGAGATTGCAAGC